GTGACAATCTCGGCTTGAACCACCATGGCTTGTGGCGTGTTTTTCCATGTGCCTATGAGCTCTTGGAGTGCGTGAAGGGCCCGCAGGATCCATAAACGCTTCCTTTTCCATCTAGTGCAGGCGGTGTATTTATTCTAGTTATATATTCCTTTCATAATTGGTTCTAATTTCTTCCACAACCTTCTATAGCTTCCATATATTTTCCAAAACTTTCCGGTATCTTGGAAAAAGTCCCCTCTTTTTTAAACAAAATATCTTCCCTCCTTTTTCTGTATTTCTGAAATTTAAAGAAAAAATTTTAAATTCATGGCATGTGAAGCGATCAAAAATTACAAAATTACCAAAAAAAACTAGGTAAATCATGTTAAAAATATTTGTTTTAATATTTTTGTAAATATGATAAAAATGGAGTAAAAACTAATTATGACAGCACTCAGCTTTTTTTTTCATTAAAAAAATGTTGATTTTATTACAAAAATGACATTTACGCATCTGATAATATAAAGTTTAAATTAATTTTTTCATTAAAAAAACATAATTGAACATATTTAGAGATTTATCATCAGTTTTTTGAAAACAATATTATCAATTAGATTTTTTACAACATAAAATAGCACGAAAAGTTCCCAATTTAAAAATTTAAGACCAAATTACCATGAATACCAGCAAACCGAGAAAGGTCCGAGTAACAATATTTTAACTTCATACTAATTTCATTTTCTTTTTGTCCGGAATTCCCAATAAATAATTAAACCAAAAAATGTGAATTGAATATAACGAACAGGAAGTTTAAAAAAATTAAAAAAAAAATTAAAAATAAATAGGTTTTGGATCCATGTACAGTAAATTACTAGTATATTGATCTGTGCTTCACTATGAAACAATATTATTTTTAAAAATTTATATTAAAAATTATTAAGAATTTAAAAAATATTATAAATTTGATTTAGTGATCTTGTCAAATCCAAAAAAATTAAGTCTAGCATCTATATCAAACTTTAGAGTCTTGGATATAATAACTATATTAGAACTATATTTGGGTCTAAAAATGTTGATAGACTTGCATCTGGTTTTAATAATTATGTTGGACTATGTCTGGTTCAGTACTGAATATAATTATTAAATCTAAGACTCAAAAGATTTTAGGTTTGATATTATTATTAAACCTAAAATACTTAAATTTGATAATTTTTACCAACTCAAGCAAATAATAAAAAATAATCTAATAATTGTTCACTTTAGTAACTAATAAAGAGAAAAAACACAACCAAACTGAAAACACAAACAAACTGACCGTAATTCAATTCTAATCTGTTTATACACGTTGTGTTCTGTGAAAGAAAATGGTGGCCAAGTGGTAAAGACTTGGGACTAAGGAGTTTGCTCCCTCCGTGGTCTTAGGTTCGAGTGCTTGGTTGCTCATATAATGGCCACTAGAGGCTTACATGGTTGTTAACTTTAAGGCCCGTAGGATTAGTCGTGGTGCGCGCAAGCTGGCCTAGACACCCATGTTAATCTAAAAAAAAAAAAAAGTCTGTGCATCTATCAAGACTATATATTACCAGCAATTTTTCAAATAAGAACATGGTCACATTTATAATGTCTAATATCAAAACTATGTCTCCATCAACCGCATGAGTTAATCTCCAGATATGATAATTAAGAAGCTTAAGAGGAAATTGACGGATAAAAGAAACCATTTTTTCATATGTTGGCCACTTTTTTTCCCTTATTATAAAATATATATTAACATAAAAATTAACTAGCTAAGAACTAAGCAGTCCCTATCTGCACTGGCTGCAATATTCCCATCACCTGAAGCACCCGCAAAAGCAATTTTAATATCCTCAAACACAACTTCCATGCTTCGAGGATTTGATCTAAACCATGAACCCGATCTACTAGAAGTCGAGAACACCATTCTAAAGTGAAACCCACCTCCCCATTGCTTCTTTCCTTGGCCAATTTATCCACCACCCAGCTCTCCACCGAGTTATCCGTGTTATTGGCCGATAGCTTGGCATTTATTACGTTGCTTGTCTCTGTGTCCATGGAGAACTTAGGGGAATTAGCTGAAGCAAGGATATAATCTTTGTCGTAATACATATGGCTATGTATTTGACCAAAGTCTATTTTCAATCTGGTATTTGGATTCTTAACTGATACGTATGCTTCCCAAATAGCCGTGAAGGTAGGCATGGTGGCATTAAAATTTAATACAGAAAAGTCTTCAACGTGAAAAACAGGAATTTGCATATCCCAATGTAGGAGGATAACTCATTGGTGGAGGACACTTAAGTCTTCCTGAAGGAAAAAGGGTGCTTTCAGATGGTTGGCTTTCTCCCTTGTTGTTTTGTTGGGATTCCGAAGCCATAGTACGTGTAATTGATTATCTCTCTTTGAACCCAAGAGAGGCAGGAGGCAGGGATTTTAATTTTTTCGGATGAAGTAAGGAGAAAACGAGAAAGATTACAGAGAATCAAGGGTGGCATAACCGCGTACATTGTGTGTTGTATGTTACAATTAGGCTAACATGTTCAAATGGAATTGGTTGTCATGTCACCTGATACGGGTGCATTTGGCCATATTGAGCTGGGTTTCCTTTCTCTCATTGGCACTTGAATACAATGAGGTTAAACAGGTAGTACACATTTCTCAAGCTTCCAAGGAATTGAGAGGAGCATTGCAACAAAAATCAAATCCAAAAAATGTTTGTAAGAAGATGCGCAATCATGGCTGTTGCCAAAAAAGTTCATGACATTTACGTTTACATATATGGTTCTATGATGAGAACAGATATACTGTATTGCTTATTGTGTGGTCAAATGGCTGAATAAATACTGCTCCTGATTTTTATCACTTGCTATGGTTGAAAATAGTAAATTATGGGTATTGGTTAACAAACTTTATGCTTTACTGTGACAAAATTATGTTAGATACGGCCAAAGTTGATGCATGATATTAGATATGGCCAAGAAAACTTGTACGAGTGATGTACAAATTGCCTAGAGTTTTTTGCTTAAAAACTATACGAGGATTACAAGTATGTGTGATTTCCACATCCAGAATCTGTCAAGAACTGGCCTTCAGGTTGCAAAATTTCTTCGCGGCTAGTTTTGGAGATAGGACTATGTGCATTTGATTCCATGATGTTCCCAGCCCTGTAGGTTGTCTGAAATTTTCGTGGCAGCAACGCAACACCAAAACTGCTATAGAAATTGCATTGATTACAGCAGTAGTATTCCAAAATAAAGACAGAAACTCAATACGAAGGAAAGGAAATAGAAGAACAAGTAAGTAAATAAGAACAAGGAAGTGACAGAAACATCATGATCACTTGAGCAATGGAACCGAGCACGCTCTGGGCTCATCGCCGATCATCATGCCAGCACCCGGACCAGTTTCAAACAGCACGTCCAAGTCAGTGCATTTAGCCTTCAGCCAATAGACCCAAGACCAAGGCCCTTTCCTATAAGAAGCCTGAAAATTCAACATCAACCCCAAATGCAAAGTTCCATTATCTCCATCTCTCTTTATCTCCTTCAGAACCCTCTCCTCAACAAAAGGTTGTTCACCCCCTCCGCACCCAGAGGCATTAAATTTGATCTGCACCAATTTCTGCTTTTTGGGCCCCAAATGAATTGACTCCACTAATGCACACGACAGAGCATCTTGATGATAATAGTAAACAAAACTTTCAAAACTTTCGACCGAAATCTCAAAATAACTATGCCGGTTCCCGAACAACAACATGGCATCCCAATTGGCCCCAGATATGGAATTCGATACGTTAAGGTCTGATACAGAGAAGGAATTGAGTCTGATCACTAGAGGCTGTTTCTGTGTCCGTGGACTGTACTTTGAGTTCATCATAAGCCCTAAGGTGATGATTGATATTCCGGCCACCACGGCAAGCAAGAAAAGAGCAAGCTGGCAAATGCTTCCACAATCTTGAGACTTCAACGATGCCATTGTTCTTTCTGCATAAACCATGAGCGTTGATTCATTTCAGTTCCTGTAATATTCTCTATCCTTCCAGGAAAAACCATACTAGAAAGGAATCAAGATTTTAAGAGACGATGGTAATATTTATTTGTCCAATCCTCGTGAGATTTATGATCTAATAGGGCCGGAATTTTCTAACAACGTTAATTAATGCTAACACAGAAATCTTTATCCACTCCATACAATAACATATATAGCATTGTGATATTTTCTTTTCTTTTCTTTTTTTCTCTTTTTTTTAAAAGAAAAACTAAGAACTCAACAGAAACACAAGGAAATGGAAAAAAGATGATGATATATAGAAATCATGGCTTTATTTCATATACCCATATTTTAATTTCTTTCATTTTCATTCATTCATTCATATATATATATATGGTTCAATACATAATTCTAACGTAGGAAATACAGTGAAGATTTTAAGAAAAATAAATAAAAAGAAAAACTTGTAAAGATATTGTTGGATTACGTACCTTATAAGTACTGAACTTGTTTTTATTTTTTTCAAGATTTATGAATTCATAGTACAAAAGTAGTTGTTGATGATGACGGTGTTGCTTCGGATTAGAAGACTGTAACCATGAACTTCAAATTGTGAGAAGAAAATGATGTTTGCAAATATACTTTGGAAGGCGTGGGTCACAACGGTTTGTAACTGTCTCAAATGTTATTTAGGAGGGAACGGTTTTCGATAGGCTTTTTGTTTTACTATTTTACCCTTCTCGTGATTTGTTTTCCTTCATGGTTTTTAGTTCAAGGCTGTGATGATTCATGAGATGCTTGAAAATTTGATTGTTGTTGTTTTTAAAATGTATTTTATTTTAAAATAATATTTGATTATTATTTTTATATTAATACATCAAAACAATTTTAAAATATAAAAAAATTAATTTTAAGATATATAATCTTAGCCACATTTTCAAATAATTACTAGATATTTAATCCCTTTAACTTTGTTTGTAATATTTTCAAATAATATTTTTTAAATATTTTTATGTTAGCATATCTAAATAATTTAAAAAAAATTAAAATACATAATTTAAACCATATTTTCATATAATTACTAGGTATTTAACCCCTTTTAACTTTGTTTGTGAGTGTTTTTGATGGGAAGAAAAGTTCAGAAAATTAACATTTAATCCCATATATTTTAGGGACTTCAAATGTTAATCCATTGGGTGTGGGTAAAAAAAAAAAATTAAGGTGGTGTGGTACTTTTTTTTTTTTCTTTTCAAATTCATTTTTTTATATATCTTTTTATACACAACCATCGGATGAGTCACAATATTACATATTATATATTATTTTCTGTTATATTTATTTTACTTTTTAATTATTTTTTTACATCCTTAAGACTTAACTCATTAATATTTAACCTTCAATTTTTAACTTGAATCTAAATGTTCACCAATCCAACTAAGAAGTCCTCTCCTAGAAAACAATCAATTTCTCAAGAAAGAAAAGGGAAAATCAAACAAATTGTAAGAAATTTAAGCCAACGCTTAATCAATTAGATGCATCGAACTCTTTGAACCCTTGCCTAATTACTTATAATCTTTTTTAGGCACAACTTGCCATGTTTCATCAATTGGTGACATCATAAACCATGCAATATTTTACAATATTTTGATGGTGTTTGGAAGCAATTATTTTTTAAATATTTTTTTTAAAATATATATTGAAATAATTTTTTTATATTTTAAAAATAATTTTTAATACTAATATATCAAAATAATTTGAAAACATCAAAAAAATAATTTGAAATAAATAAAAAAAATTTCAACTTTTTCTAAAATAACTTTTAAAATATAAAAACAAACAAACCTTTAATCTTTGCAGCCACAATTCCACCTTCCAAACATAAACAAATAAGGATTTATAGCAATAATCCTTATCCACCCGAAACCTTATACAATCTGCCTTATGATAAAGGAGCCAACACAGTAAAACTCAATAATCCACTGTTTTAAATTCCTCCTTGATCTCCCTTGTTACTGCATAGTCCACAATAGGTTGATCAACCTCAAATCCTTTTGTTTCAAATTCAATGTACACGTTTTCTTGCTGTATCAACCCCAAATGAAACCCTTCAACAATAGTTGTCAAAAAAGCATCATCTTGTTCATAAAAACATGTAACTATCTGATCCTTCCAAGGAAATATCCGACCCAAGTTAGGATTAAAGGTTGTGAAATTGGATCCACATTTTGTTTCTGAAATGAAGAGAAAGTTGAACTGGATTGTGGGAGATTCCGGGTCGAAAGAATACATCATGATCATGTCTAGTGACAATTTAACAATTATTATTGTTGAAAACAAGGCGGGGAGAAAGAGAAGAACGATTTTGATGATGCTCCAGGACTCGTTGGACCCTGAAGGATATGGAGAATAGTTGGCGCTGATAGGAAGTAATGGGGAATGATTAGCATGGGCTTTCACTTTTTTGGATTGAAGATCACCTGAACAAGCCATGAATTACTTACAACTTGACATGAAATTTGTTTATCAGTTTGGCCATTATATGTAGGAGTCTTCAAAATGGTCAGATAACAGCGAAGTGTTTTGGGAAAGATTGTTTGAGGCTTTAAGATAAGAATGCTTGACGCTAGCTGTACGTAGGATGAGGATTGATATAAGCTCTGGTACCATTTTTGGCTGGACAGAATACAGAATCTTGCTAGCTTGGCATCATCAAGCAGTAGCCATGGCGCGATGACATACCCAGATATAAACTTATCTATAAGATCTAGTTGGCTATAGGATATTTTTTTACACCCGACAACTGGCGATGTTAAACCCAGATATAAATCTATCTAGAAGATCTAGTTGGCTATATGATAATTTTTGACGTCCGAAAGTTGCTGTCGCTAATGGAAGAGAAGGCATCTGTGAATCACAAGGAGCCATGGGATGGCGAGCAAATTAGTCTCTTCCCACCACAGCGGAGCCAAAAAATTTAGGACAGGGGCTGATGGGCAATACTTGAGTAAAAAACTCACTCATTCGCACTGAATGCACATAAAAATTTGGAAGATGTAACCTGTGTGTTTTAGGGTACCAATTAAATTCAGAAAAGCTGGAAAGTATTGAATTATTGCTTCAAGGGACCTTTGGAATCATGGTGTCAAATTCTAACTGGTTAAAGAATTATGGAGGTTCGTTGGTTCAAAGTTATTAGAGCAAGTCATTTCTTATTCCAAGGATAACATGGAAACAATAAGAATCCCTGAACACCTTCTAAAGAAATCTGAGGATCAAGAATGAGCAGATTAAAGGACGCCACAGGAGAGGTTGTCTTTCCTATTCACGGCAACACAACCACCAAGACCTGCCAATTTTGTTTTACTATTTTACCCTTCTCGTGATTTGTTTTCCTTCATGGTTTTTAGTTCAAGGCTGTGATGATTCATGAGATGCTTGAAAATTTGATTGTTGTTGTTTTTAAAATGTATTTTATTTTAAAATAATATTTGATTATTATTTTTATATTAATACATCAAAACAATTTTAAAATATAAAAAAATTAATTTTAAGATATATAATCTTAGCCACATTTTCAAATAATTACTAGATATTTAATCCCTTTAACTTTGTTTGTAATATTTTCAAATAATATTTTTTAAATATTTTTATGTTAGCATATCTAAATAATTTAAAAAAAATTAAAATACATAATTTAAACCATATTTTCATATAATTACTAGGTATTTAACCCCTTTTAACTTTGTTTGTGAGTGTTTTTGATGGGAAGAAAAGTTCAGAAAATTAACATTTAATCCCATATATTTTAGGGACTTCAAATGTTAATCCATTGGGTGTGGGTAAAAAAAAAAAATTAAGGTGGTGTGGTACTTTTTTTTTTTTCTTTTCAAATTCATTTTTTTATATATCTTTTTATACACAACCATCGGATGAGTCACAATATTACATATTATATATTATTTTCTGTTATATTTATTTTACTTTTTAATTATTTTTTTACATCCTTAAGACTTAACTCATTAATATTTAACCTTCAATTTTTAACTTGAATCTAAATGTTCACCAATCCAACTAAGAAGTCCTCTCCTAGAAAACAATCAATTTCTCAAGAAAGAAAAGGGAAAATCAAACAAATTGTAAGAAATTTAAGCCAACGCTTAATCAATTAGATGCATCGAACTCTTTGAACCCTTGCCTAATTACTTATAATCTTTTTTAGGCACAACTTGCCATGTTTCATCAATTGGTGACATCATAAACCATGCAATATTTTACAATATTTTGATGGTGTTTGGAAGCAATTATTTTTTAAATATTTTTTTTAAAATATATATTGAAATAATTTTTTTATATTTTAAAAATAATTTTTAATACTAATATATCAAAATAATTTGAAAACATCAAAAAAATAATTTGAAATAAATAAAAAAAATTTCAACTTTTTCTAAAATAACTTTTAAAATATAAAAACAAACAAACCTTTAATCTTTGCAGCCACAATTCCACCTTCCAAACATAAACAAATAAGGATTTATAGCAACAATCCTTATCCACCCGAAACCTTATACAATCTGCCTTATGATAAAGGAGCCAACACAGTAAAACTCAATAATCCACTGTTTTAAATTCCTCCTTGATCTCCCTTGTTACTGCATAGTCCACAATAGGTTGATCAACCTCAAATCCTTTTGTTTCAAATTCAATGTACACGTTTTCTTGCTGTATCAACCCCAAATGAAACCCTTCAACAATAGTTGTCAAAAAAGCATCATCTTGTTCATAAAAACATGTAACTATCTGATCCTTCCAAGGAAATATCCGACCCAAGTTAGGATTAAAGGTTGTGAAATTGGATCCACATTTTGTTTCTGAAATGAAGAGAAAGTTGAACTGGATTGTGGGAGATTCCGGGTCGAAAGAATACATCATGATCATGTCTAGTGACAATTTAACAATTATTATTGTTGAAAACAAGGCGGGGAGAAAGAGAAGAACGATTTTGATGATGCTCCAGGACTCGTTGGACCCTGAAGGATATGGAGAATAGTTGGCGCTGATAGGAAGTAATGGGGAATGATTAGCATGGGCTTTCACTTTTTTGGATTGAAGATCACCTGAACAAGCCATGAATTACTTACAACTTGACATGAAATTTGTTTATCAGTTTGGCCATTATATGTAGGAGTCTTCAAAATGGTCAGATAACAGCGAAGTGTTTTGGGAAAGATTGTTTGAGGCTTTAAGATAAGAATGCTTGACGCTAGCTGTACGTAGGATGAGGATTGATATAAGCTCTGGTACCATTTTTGGCTGGACAGAATACAGAATCTTGCTAGCTTGGCATCATCAAGCAGTAGCCATGGCGCGATGACATACCCAGATATAAACTTATCTATAAGATCTAGTTGGCTATAGGATATTTTTTTACACCCGACAACTGGCGATGTTAAACCCAGATATAAATCTATCTAGAAGATCTAGTTGGCTATATGATAATTTTTGACGTCCGACAGTTGCTGTCGCTAATGGAAGAGAAGGCATCTGTGAATCACAAGGAGCCATGGGATGGCGAGCAAATTAGTCTCTTCCCACCACAGCGGAGCCAAAAAATTTAGGACAGGGGCTGATGGGCAATACTTGAGTAAAAAACTCACTCATTCGCACTGAATGCACATAAAAATTTGGAAGATGTAACCTGTGTGTTTTAGGGTACCAATTAAATTCAGAAAAGCTGGAAAGTATTGAATTATTTCTTCAAGGGACCTTTGGAATCATGGTGTCAAATTCTAACTGGTTAAAGAATTATGGAGGTTCGTTGGTTCAAAGTTATTAGAGCAAGTCATTTCTTATTCCAAGGATAACATGGAAACAATAAGAATCCCTGAACACCTTCTAAAGAAATCTGAGGATCAAGAATGAGCAGATTAAAGGACGCCACAGGAGAGGTTGTCTTTCCTATTCACGGCAACACAACCACCAAGACCTGCCACTTTACCTCTCCCCTCAACAAGGTTCTCTGTTATTTGAACCGAACAACGGGTTTTATGGATATTGGAGCTCCAAAGCAGTGAGTAATTTGGCATGGAAAGAAATGGGCATGAAAAATGTATACACTCTTATTAAATAGCAGCTGTTTTCATTTGTTTATACCCATAGGAGGGGGAGGTTGTACAGTTGTGAGTACAGAGTGTGCATATGCATGCATGCCTTGAATGAAACATACTCAGACTCGATAGTTGGAAAAATAACAGCAAAACTTTGGCAGAAGAATCCAACCCTAATGCGGATCGTGATACGAGTATATCAAGCCACCTATTATTTGACTTCGTAATTATACAAGAGCATAAATGGTGGCATGTACCTAGATTCGTTCTAGTAAATGTTTACCGTTTTTGCTCGTTCCATGTCTTCCCCTCAAAGAATTCATTCATCATGTGGTCAAGATCCTCAGGAGAGTATCTAATGTACTTCTGAGGGTTTTTTCCATTCTCAATCATAGGCCTGTAACAATGCAAAACAGGGTTTGTTCCTATGAGTGAAAGAAAGAAGGATGAATTCTTCTCAGATAAAATGATGAGTAGAAGCCAGAAGAAGAGGAAAAAGCAGGTCACAAAGATGAGAACCATACCCAAAACGCTTTTGAAAAGACCTATATGCGGGCAAGAGAACTTCGGCAACAGCCAGCCTCAAAGACTCACGCAACTCGCTGTCAGGAACGGTCCATTGAGATTGCCTCTGGTGAAGCTCCTCAAATTGGACATTGAAGGTCTTGAATCTATCCTTCACTGCTGCTCTTGAAATTCCACTGGCACTACCATCACCTCCGATTCCACCACCACTGCCTGATCCACCACCCTGAACAGAGAGACACTGCAGAATCTGCACATCTAAGACGCGAACTGTTTAACATGACGTCTTATTGATTAGAAAACAAAAAATCTCACTAGAAACCAAATAACTGAATACAATTTTGGGTGGGAACTAGTTCCTATGAGTTATACGCACAATTTTCCAACCCTAAATTAGATGAAAAGAGGAGCAATTCAAGATGTTGCAATTTCTTATGACAAAAGGTTAAGAAGCAGTCAACACGAAGACGTCACCACTAAACGCTGCAACGAGTAATTCCAAAATTAACACAAATAGCATTGCAACTGGAGAAGTGCCCTAGTAGGTCTAGTATGGCATGCAAATTAGAGGATGGAGTCTAGGCCACTTGATCCTAAGGCAGGTATCCAGACTTTTCCCATCAAAAGATAACAATATTCACTAGATATGAAGACATCTTCAAGGAAGAGTAAATATTAACTTGGATAACTACAGCCCCACCGAGTGATTGTAATAAAATATATACAAATCAACATAAATATTCAATAAATAGGTCCGTATTTATATAAAAAAAAATCCTGAGAAGATGGTATTAGTGGGTTCAAGTGATATCCCCAGCATCCTTGTCAAGGAAAATAAAGAGATTCTGATGCAGAGCAAGTCTAGTTAAAGAAACAAACCTTTGCCCAAGAAACTCTCTTATACTGATTAGCATGCTGTTGCACAGTTCTTCTGTGTATTTGCACCCAATCATCACCCAGTAAATCCTTCGCTTCTGACCTGTACTTGGATGTTAAAAGGTGTCAGGCAGATCATGTACAGATCATCAACGCCTCTTATATAAAATACAAAAAATATAGAACAAACCTCCGCACAGATCTCACTATATAGTGAATGTTGTTCATGAGAAATAGTTGAGTCAGCGCAGGGTCCTTATACTGCTTTGATTTCCCGTCGAGGTTATTTTGAAGAGCCTGCATAATTCTTGTAGTCACAGATGTCAACTGAGCATCAGGATCGCTTGCATCAAACTCTTGAAAGAGCTGTTTCAGTGTAGATTGGTAACTGCGCAAATTGAAAGACCAACTGTCAGATGCATGATATTTATGAAGTAACCTAATATTTCTAGATCTTCTGACCACATTAAACACATGAACAAGTAGCAGACTTGAAGGAAGTATATTAAAAAATGTCATGATAAAATTGATAGAAAAGAAACAAGAAAATGCAGCAATAATAACTTACTCAAAGAGAAACTTCACATAATTAATCACATAGCTAGTCAAAGGATGGACAGTTCCATCTAAAACAGCAGTTTTGGTAGCATCTTTTTCTACAGCCTCTTCAAAATCACAAAAGGTCTCTTGAGCCGTTTGAGCTAGTCGCTTTGTTAAACTCAATGCAGAGTCCCGCATTTCGATGCAGGCTTTACTTCCAAAGAGTAATTCAATCTGCGGATGCAACCCCCAACATCAAGCCGAAAAACAAAGAAAAAGAAATAAAAGAAGATCATAAACATCAAGAAGAATTGAAGAAAAAGAAGGAGAAGAATGAGAAAAAAATACTTGTCTAAGCATTTTTCCACCATAGGATTCATACAGTATCGTTTCTCTAATGCTTTGTGATTAAAAATAACAGTGAAATGCTGTTAGCTCCATCATAAAGAAAACAGTTGGTTTTCTATATTCCAAATGTCATTTTAGTCGCCTTTTCTAATAAACAACCAAGAAACGATACCTGAAGCTACATCCGCAGGCTTTTTATGCATTTCAGTTTGCTTGAAATGGATTTTCATCCCCATGGATTGTGAGCTCCAAGGCGACCTTGCATACCATGTTCCATTGAAAGTCGCATCTCAATTTCCCCCCATTTTCATCTCTTTCACTGTACGACTATTTCCCCATATAGAGGGTCTTTATTTACTTATCATTTCATTTTCTAATTTATTTCATGCACATCTGCGATTCATGGTTCATGGTTTCAATTCTGAGAAAAACTCGCCTTGAAATGACTTTTTACCATCATCATAGATTCATTACCTTGTTGATAAATGAGACAAATCCCATACAGGGTTATCCACCAAAACTGTTTAGAATTCACATGATTATTTAGTATTGATAATATTTCGCTTTAGTAAAAGCTTCCATACCTCAGATTGAAGTTCCCGCATAATCTCATACATATCTAATAGAACAAATAGTTTTTCAGGTGATCTTTTGCTTTTGGCTATGGCCTCCCCAAAACTAAGCAGCACAGACACGCTGTTTACAGTGACTTCAGCAAAACATTGATCCCTGAGAGAATCAACCCCATCAAGTATTTGATCACACAGTTTCTTTTCCCCAGCAAACAGCAGTTTGACCTGTTCCAAGCATTGAAAAAAAATTGAGAAACCAAATAACAAAAAGAGACCTTGATACCAAGAATGCAACACATAAATCCTCACAGCAATCCTCATATAATGTATCCAATTCCCGATCTTAGCCTCCAAGACCTCCCACTGCATTTTCTGGACATCATCCTTACTGAGTCTCTCAACACCTAATTTCCTGACGCTTTGTTCCAAAACTGAAGCACGAGTGTCCCTGGAGTTTGTAAACAGAAAATATCATCACCAAAATTCCAAAGTCAATGGTAGTAAGAACCATATGATGATAAGAATCAGAATGAAATTTTACTTTTGTTCTTAGATGGAATTTATTAGCGAATAATTATTTCAATGACAAAGCCGATGTTCTCTTCCTCCATTGTCTCTTTGTTAAGCAAAAATTGTCATAACTCGTGTCTTGAAAAGTAACGTGACAACTATATTGCTAGATTTCCATTAAAGTAATTTTATTTCCTATTAAATCCAGCAAAGACAGGAAGAGATTATCCAAACTTATATGCATTGACAAATTCACCACTCATTATTGAAAACTAAAACTGTAGCATGTTCAAATTCATACTAATTTACACAAGATTACTCAAGAGAGATTACCCATAAATAACCAAGCTAAAATTTTCTTCCAATTTCAATGTTTTTATCATGGATCAAGCATTGGCAGAGCAATGTAGATTTCTTTTTATATTCCAAGTTTCAAGCTTGTTATTAGCGGTAAACGATAAAAACACCAGAATTTGAAAAAGTCAATCTTCTGACATGTATTTGTCTTGAGAACTTGTAAGACAGAAGACAACCTAGTTAAGATAGGTCCAAGAATGAAGAACATGAGCAATGATAACAGCAGCAATAAGAAAGGGAAAAAATCACCTGTAGATTCTAAATAGCTGTTGTTGGTGACCAGCTTGAACCATTTGTTGAGCTAAATCATGTAGCAATGGAATAACCCTTGGCGGAATAAGTGTTGGAAGAGTGTAAACAGCATTTTCTAAGCTCTTCCCTTGGTGCTCAGTGGGGCTCTTGCTGTTATCATTACCATGCTTCCTAGGCGATCCTGATGATGATGATGGACGTAGAGAATTGGGAAGACATTCAAAAAGTCGATCAGGTTCCACTGGCTTGCTGTCAGTCAAAACAATTCTTAACTTATTTCAAAAGCATTATTGAGGATCATGAAAAATCAAAGCTTGCATCAGGCACACAACAACAATCAATCTTTCACAATTAATTGACACTTTTCAGCGGCAGAAGTCATAGCCATTTCCAATATTCGATTCATTGCTCATTTCAAAACACCAAAAAACAAGACTTTTCGAGTGCACCAAACAGTCAGATCAAAAACACTAAACAATTAACATAACTTCTATGTCAATCGTCATTTCTTGAAACAAAACAGAACAGGATTTCATTACAAAAACAAGAAGCCAAGAAGACGAACCTGTAATTTGTTAAAAGCTGTCTAAACTCCTCTTCAAGCTTAGAAATAGCTTTAGCAAGTAATTGATTGGCATGATTAAGCACACCATCACTGCTTTTAAAACTCTTATTGCTGCTAAAAAATTTCACATTGCTTCTTAGCTGATCAATCGCTTCTAAATAACTCTCTAAATCTTCATGTGGCCCTCTCAATATTTTAGCCTCTGCCTACAACATCCAAATACATATATATCCAGACAAATTAATTAATAATATTACAACAAAAAAACATCATTATAGAAATTATTATTTAAAAAAAAAAGTACCTTTCGCGTGAGGTCAAATTGAGATAAAATAACCTCTGCTGCCTTCAATGTTTTATCAATATTTTCATGTGCTCTTCTAATCGAATGCGTCCTTATCTACAAAAGAAGAAGAAGAAGAAGAAGAAAATTTCCTTTACAAACAACAATGCATATCCATTAAAACAGAAATATGGAAAGTTGGGATGATTCTTAACGTACCTGAGTGGGACGCATGGCAGTTTCTAAGGCAGAGAGCCGGTGGTCGAAGGAGCCAAGAATGGCGGCCATGTTATCAGTAATGATTTGGCTTTTTTGTAACGATTCTTTAATGAAATCAGCTCGTTCTCTTAGGGCCTCCATTGTTTGAGGCACCCCCATTGTTCGTGTTGGTTTGTATTTCTGTTGAAGGATTTAGGGGAAGAGAAGGGACAAAACATGAAGTAGTTACGAAGGATTCTTGGGAAAAAGGGTATTTGTTGGGGTTTTTTTTTTTTTTTGTTCCAGTCAATGAGTGGGCCAGGTTTTTGTGGACCCTTGACCTAACAACATCCTCTGTTTTGTCATTTTGTGCACCGCTTTCCTCTTCTTCTTTTTTAAACCACGATGAAGATTGGTTCCTTTCATGCACTAGTAAATTTATTTCCCGATGGATTTTTTTTTTTTTCGTATGCTTTCCATGAATTAGTCTCTATCCATATTTGGTGTATTTTTGTCCGAAGGGTGCTTGCTATATTGTGTAGGGTAACATGATGCCATTTTGAAGAAGATTTTTAATTAAAATTGTTGTTACCATTTATCTCGTTCCAATCAAAGACTCTATTTGTTTTTATTTTTAAAAAATATTTTAAAAAAAATTAAAAAATTTATTTTTCTTTTTATTTTAAATTAATTAATATGATAATGTCAAAATAATTTTTAAAAATATATTATTTTAATATATTTTCGAGTAAAAAACAACTGTTATCATGCTATAAAACATCCTATAAAAGTAATGGTTTTAATCCTTGTGTTTTTATTATTTCAATTGATGAGAAGACTTCCATAAATAATGTTAAACAAAATGATGAAAAAATTTCATAAATAGGTTTGATTTTATATTAAAAAAAACATTAAAGTATGTCAAACATGCTAATAAATAGCACAAAATAGTTTTATTACCGGAAACTAATCCTTTTGCCCCTTACCGAGCATTATTTTCACTTTCAGGAATTTAATCTTGTTGTCCATTACCTAGTATTAGTTTTATTAACGAAAACTAATTCCTTTCATTTTAATTTATAATTCTAACATAAAATATCATTGCATCATCAAAATTATTGTAATAAATTAAGAAAAAATATTAATCTACAACAATTACCTACTGCAGAAGCTAAGTGGTACCTCCCGACAGCTACATAGCTTTTGTAGCTTCTCTTTTAACAACAAATATACCACATTAATTTTAATTCCATGTACATTCCTCGTATTAATATTCTAAATCAATTTATTTCATCTTAACCTTTATTTCTCATTTAATCCTCATTGAATTTTTATTTTTTAAAAAATTTTATTTTCTTAGTTATCTCAACAAAAAAAATTCTTATAACTTGTATATACACGTATCTTCTTAAACTATATTTTTATAACCATTTATGATTTAATTCTCATGTCAAGAACAACTATAATTAAACAAGCTATTAGACGCATAATTTTTTTTCAATTGGGCATGCAGAATTCATTTATTTCCTAACATGTTCTTCCAAATACATAAAAAGTTCTAACAAAACTCAATAATAATGTTATTAACATCTATAGTTTTGCATTTGTATTATCATAGTCATACATGTATTATATCACACAAATATTATCACATTTACATCAATTTTTTTTATGTATCTTTCCTTAGCATGAAAAGTCAAACATGTTCACAATTATATTTATCTTTAGGTTCAATAATTCACCCTAAATTTCATAAATTTCAGCAACATAAACTCTCAAGTCAATCTACATAATGTGAAACTCCTTTAAAATCATTTCCTTCATAATATATACATTAATCTACTATGATATCACTTACTACATACAATTCTATTTCATGTAATATAACCCCTCATTGGTCGGTCATGGGTCCTTAAGAACCTCATGGTTTTCTTCATCATTTCTACCTGTATTAATAACCAACACAGCTTATTTTAACCTAATTGATCAATCCATGGTCAATTTATATTTTTTCAAAAAATTCACTCTAAAGCATAGCATTAATTTCATTATTTGAACCTCAATTGTTATCCATTTCATATAAAATTTCTAGGTTAGGTTTAGAACTCCTTGCCAAATGATAATCAAGTTT